CTGCCCAGCACTCACAGACAATGCTCCCACCCAGCGCTCCTGCCCAGGGCTCACAGACAGTGCTCCTGCCCAGTGCCCCCACACCACACTCCTACCCAGTTCCCCCACCCCCTGCTCCTACCCAGCGCCCCCACCCCCTGCTCCCACCCAGTGCCCCCACCCTGGCTCCTAGCCAGTGCTCCCAGCTGGTGTGTACCTGCTGTGATAGGCCACGGGTGTATACGATTCATTCACATATTCAGGATGTCCAGATTTTCCAAAGATGACCTGCAAGGTAATTATTAACAACTCTAAATAATACAGCAGATGTGCATGGGAAGCAGCCAAGCTGACGTTAAGCTTCACGATCAGAGAATGGGAGGGCAGGAAGCTGACAGCCAGTGTTGCGCACAGGGCACAGGCCTAATTGAATGATATGCGACCAGCAGCTACAGAAATTCACCAACCATTCCCCTCCTCTGCAACTTCACCAGCACCGCTGTGAGAAACAGGAAACAGCGATTACAACGTGGTGGCAGGGGCTCCCAAGGGGAGCCTTGCTGAGGAGATGGACTCCCACATTTAGGAACAGTTATGCCTACAGCAAGCAGTTGCACATCTTTGGAGTGCAATGAAGGATGCCTCACTTGCATTGGCAATTGAAATATTCCTGTGTCTATCACCATTACCCACACTGTCCCCCAACTGCCCAACACCTTGACACAGCTTCTGATTAGTCGTTGGTACTGGTTTAATGCAGCTCCAGGAACATGGGTCTCACCGGTAGGGCATCGCTGGCTTTTTCGCTGCCCATCAACTGGATTTTCACAGTGATGTTCCGTGCTGATCCCTGTCGGTTTGTGAAGTTGAAGAATTGAGGGTAGACATAGAGGAGGTTTCTGAAAACAAAACACAGGGCAACATTTAAGGACATGAGAAATTCACCGTTGGTAGGGAAGTGACAGCCTAGTGATATTATCGCCAGACTGTTAATCTGGGGACCTGGGTTCAAATCCCACCATGGCAGATGGAATTTGTTTTCAATAAAAGTCTGGAATTATGAGTCTAATGATGACCATGAATTGATTGTTGGAAACATCCATCTGGTTCACTAATGTCCTTTAGGGAAGGAAACTGCTATCCTTACCTGATCTGGCCTACATGTGACTTCACAGCCACAGCAATGTGGTTGACTCTTAACTGCCCTCTGGGCAATTAGGGGTTGACAATAAATGCTGGCCTAGCGAGTGATGCCCACATCCCATGAATGATTTAAAAAAAAATTCACCAGCATTGCATCACAAATTAACACAGGATTGAGAGAACACACCTGAAAAATACCAGTTTAAGAAATGCAGTTTGTGCCATTTGAGGAAGCCCTTCCAATCACTTGAGTCTCCAAGGAGACACTGACAGCCATATACATATAGAAACAACAACTTTCCCGGATTTCTGTATTAACAATATCAAACAGATTGGACAGCATAATGTTCACAATAGGGTTGCTCCTGTATTGCAAAGACCTTTTAAAACTTTGATCACCATGTCAGACATTGACATAAAGTAACTGTATTTGTATTTGTGTGATCTTTGCTCAATCTCTTGTGCAGTAGATGTGTAACCTCTATTCTAGACCACTGTACTGTGCAAGTTCTGCTCTAGGCCCCTGCACAATGCACGAATGGCCTCAGTAATCAATGATTATTGATCCTTCAGTACAGTGTATATGAGGGAAACATTCTCATTTCCTCTAAATGACACATGGAAGCCCAAGCTCCATTACTCTTTGTTTCTGGTCTCCCTGCAGTGCAGATATGACCTTTAACCTGGTCTCTGAAAGTGCAAACATGACCTTTACCCTTGGTCTCCTGATAGTATAGACACAACCTCTGTTCCTGATCCCTTAACTGTTCACAAATGGTTTTAGTTCCAGTCGTAAACTTCTTAAACAGTCTGATAAGCCATGTCAGGATGAGGGCTTTGTCCACATATTGTTTGCCTACTGAGCTCAAAAACACAGCTACCAGTGAGGTGGCACAGTGGCTCACTGGTTAGCACTGCTGCCTCACAGTGCCAAAGACCCTGGTTTGATTCCACCCTCGGGCAACTGTTTGCGTGGAGTTTGCAAATTCTCCCTGTGCCTACATGGGTTTCCTTCCAAAGATGTGCAGATTAGATAGATTGGCCAGGCTGAATTGCCCATAGTGTCCAGGAATAGGTGGATTAGCCATGGGGAATGCAGAGTTACAGGGCTAGGGTTGATTTGGGTGGGATGCTCTTCAGAGAGTCAGTGTGGACTTGATGGGCCAAATGGCCTGCTTCCACACTGTAGGTTTTCTGTAATCAGAAGATGGCAAGGAACCAGGACCAAGTCCATGCCTTTTGGCAAAACAATCTTGAAACTTCATAAAAACTAAAAACATAAAAACTAAAACTGAACCAGACGTTTGGGGCTCCTTTTGCAATTTCACTCTAAATGTTTCTGCTTGATGTTCCGGAATCAAATGATGTTGAAGATGCTTTTTAGTTTTGAAGAGGGAGATGGTGGGGCATCGGGCTAATATCATTGGCCTAGTGATCCAAAGACTCAGGCCCTGGGACATCAGTTCAAATCTCACCATGGATAGATAATGGAATTTAAATTCAGTTAGTAGTTCTAGTGTTGAAAACTCACCTCAGCAATGCTGACCATGAAACCAACATCAATTGCTATTTAAAAACCCATCTTGTTCACCTGACCTGTAGGGAAGGTAATGTACTGTTCTTCCTTGGACTAGCCTCCATGTGACTCTAAACACCACATCAATATAGTTAACTCTTAACTGCCCCCTGAAACGGTCCAGTAAGCCACTCATTTGCAGATCAATCAAGGATAGACAACACCACTCCCATCTCATGAAAGAATTTATTTTTAAATGTTTTTTAAATGTTTTTAAACACTGCTATTTAATCTGTTTCCATTGCCTTTTCAGTTCATAACAGGTCACTGCTCAGAAAAAAAAACTCACCTCACCTTTTGCCAATGTTATTAATTCTGTCTCATCTGTTTACTGACTCTCCTTTGATTGAAAACTGATTTTCCTCATTTTTGTTAAATACTTCATACTTGTGACTGTGTGTAAAGCTCATCAGAATGCTCACAGCATCCACCACGATTACAGCTCCTGTTTCAGGCACTCCTCTGTTAGACATGGATGCTAAAATTAAATTGTGTAATTATACACAAATAAGCAGCTTTCTAAACTGGGCATCATGCAGCCGCTGCCCATTCTGAAGCTGTCCTGCCAATGTGAATTCACTGATAGGCCTTTCTCCAAGATAACAGAACAGGTCAGTGTGAGGAGTTTAATTAAAGATTAGAAAAAGGTTTGAATTCAATGGTAGGTCAAGAGTTATCTTTACTGTACAGTTCACTGACTGACGGGGTCAGAAATTGGCTTAAGGTGCAGAGAACCAGGTGTGAGTTGTGTTAAACCACACAGCCCTCGTGAATCAGTGAACAATGCGCTAACAAACTACAACGTCTCAAGTTATTGGCCGCTGATCTCACCACTGTAAAATATGTACAGGGTCAACGCTACAGTTAACCCAATGTTTATTGGTAGATTCTGGGCTCCATTTCCACTCGAGGCCTGATCACCACATCTAGGCTGTGAGCTCCAGTGAAGCATCAAGGTTGTGCTGCACTGTCTAAGGTGCATCTTCTGAGATGAGACATATAATGGAGCTCCCTCCCAAACGTCCTTTAAAAGATCTCGCAACAGTATCTGAGAGTTCTCCCTGGTGGACTGAACAATATTTATTGCTGAAACAACATCACTGAAACAGATTATCTTGATTATTAATTATCACATTACTGCAGGTGGGATCTTGTTATGCACTAAGGGGCCACTGCATCTCCTGCATTACAACAACATCTACATGTTCACAAGTACTTACTCAATGTAAAGCACTTTTGGAATGTCCAGAGGTCATGAAACTTGCTATGTAAGTCTTTCTTTCTTTTACAGGGTCATATGGTATTGAAGGAAGACACTTTAGTCCAGTAGGTTACCGTGGACATGTTTGTCTTCAAAAAAGGACAAAGGGATAGGGAAGAGATGGAAGAGTTGCATTTGGACCTCTTCCCATTGCGCCTGACATAAAATCTTCATGAATTTCCCCCTCTCCATCCCTAAGGACTTCACAATTAACACCATGCTCTAAAGACATAGAACTCAGTGACTTCATAGCAAATACCTGGCTTCTGTCACATCCACCTCCTGCTGGGTCATCTCCAGTTACAGACTGGATGGGAGTATGCAGAACAGGATTCATAGTGACTTCTAAAGCAAACCAGGGCAGGACTTATACAATTAATGATACGGCCCTGGAGAATGTTGCTGTTGGGGTTACAGGTACATAGTTCCTTGAAAGTGGAGTTGCAGGTAGACAGGATGGTGAAGACAGGATTTGAAATGCTTGCCTTCATTGATCAGAACACTGATTATAGGAGTTGGGATATGATGTTGCAGCTGTGCAGGACATTGGTGAGGCCACTTTTGGAATACTGCCTACAATTCTGGTCACCTTGCTATAGGAAAGATGTTTTTAAACTTGAAGGGTTCAGAAAAGATTTACAAGTATGTTGCCAGGGTTGGAGGGTTTGACCTTTCGGGAGAGGCTGAATAGGCTGGGGTTATTTTCCCTGGAGCATCGGAGGCTGAGGGGTGACCTTATAAAGGTTTATAAAATCATGAGGGGTATAGATAGGGTAAATAGGTTTAAAATGAGAGGGGAAAAATTTAAAAAAGACCTGAGGGGTAACTTTTTCACGCAGAGGGTGACGTGCGTATGGAACGAGCTGCCAGAGGAAGTGGTGGAGGCTGGTACATTTAAAAGGCATCTGGATGGGTATATGAATACGAAGGGTTTAGAGGGATATGGGCCAAATGCTGGCAAATGGGACTAGGTCAGATTGGGATGTCGGGTCAGCACGGATGAGTTGGACCGAAGGGTCTGTTTCCGTGTTGTATGACTCTGTGACTCTGTAACTGGTACCTGAACTGCAGCTCATGCTCCAAACAGGCCCAAACCGTCTCAAGGGTAAAAAAGGTTGAGAAGAAAACTGCCCGAGCCAAAAAGGTTCACTGCCTGAGAAAGCATTAAAAAAAAATCCTGTTTTCAATGTAAGTAAATTGAGGATCCAGGTGGAGAATAAGCCTGACACAGGAGTGACAAGGAGATACAGGAGTAATCAAACCATGCACAAGAGGAACATAACTCAACACGGACAGCAAGTGAAGTATGTTATTGAAGTGTCTGTATGGAGGGGGGGTAAACTGTGAGTACATAGTCAGTGGATGTCTGCTGTACAAGTGGAACCACTACGTTTGTTTTATGCATACACATTGGCACTGGAAAAACACACCATTGTTGAGCGGTTGACATTAATAAAAAGAAACTGCATTCAGAGTTTGAGGTCTCAATTGACAATGAGAACAATCAGAATTAGGTCAGCTACTGCAGGTACTCTTTCACCACTTTCCCCAAGCTGTGTTGTTCAGAGTTGGCATTAATCCACAGATCAGTCACTAACATACACACCCGTGTCATTCTGCACTTGTCACTGCACTGGATCAATGCCCACGGCATTTCCAAGATGATAATACTGCAGCACACAGTCAGGTCAACATGCATCACCATCAAAAATACAACAGGAAAGCAAAGATTGAACTTGGATAGTTCATCCAAAATCCTGTCAGAGATAGGAGCTACATCTCACGCACTGTGGCACCTTGGGTTTAAAATGACCAATCTAGAGAATGTCATCAAAATGCTGTAAAAACTATCATGCAGGGAACATCTTCACCTTAAACACATTTCCACGTTTCCAGTGTGAACTCCAACCTGCGAATCT